CCCCGTTTTCGGACTACGTCCAAACGGGGACTAACAATTTGCCAAAGTAGCTTTGTTGAAAATATTTGTTCTCCAACCCTAAATACAATATGTTTTTCAATCATTTCTCAGACAGTAACAATCATTTACCGTAAATCACTGTATAAACAAGATGACACCTCATTGGCTTATTATAGTGTTTACTGATGATGTGAACTAATACAGTACATAAGCACTACTAATCCTTAATGTAAAGTGGAGTTTAATTCCCTTAACTCCTATTTCACAAAGTGTTTTTACCCCTTGAGGCAATGCACTAAGTTTTCAGCTCACTGAGTTTGTTATGACTGACTGACACTATTTTCAGTACTGAATATACCATTTACAGTAGGGGTAAGTCTCACCCTCACAGGGATAATCTACGGTTTATTTTTCATTGCTAACAATTTTTATGATTTAATAGCATTCATGAAGACAAATTTCTACAAAAATCAACATCTACAAATCTTCAAGAAAATCACAAAAATGAATGCAATTCACACAAGAACACTATTTACAATCATATTTATCTTCAATTTCAACTTTAATATTTAAATAATTTAATTCTTTTGAGATAAAGTTAGTAAAAGTTTTTTATTTTTTTTACATCCTATTTATGTTTATAAATACAACTTATTATCAAACCATCAAACATTGTAAATAATTAAATGACAAATTCAAGAATCCACAGCAGATTTGTCATAGCAACTCATCAAAACTAAACTGGTTGTAATATTTTAAACTATGTGATAAAGTGTAAATAATTGAATGTAAAAGTATTAATTTTGAAGAAAGAAGAAAATTTGGATATTGATGTTTCTATATTAATTCCTCTAATCTAAATTTGAAAAATTTCCCAGTAAAAACAATTATATAGATTTCTTCAATAGTGGTGTTTTGTAATGTTCATACACCTTATTCAATTTTTAATTATTATTTAAAAATGAAAAGAAAAAGGAAAAAAAAAATCAATGCCTACTTGAAAGTTGACAAATCGAGTACATCAAATAGTTTAAACATATAGCTACAGATCCTGACAATACACAGAGATTTAATTAAAATCATCAGATACTATTTCACAATCTGGCCTTCCTAGAAATGCTCCCTCAGGAGTATCTGCCAGAGATTTAGGGGTTTTCTCATCTGATAATATAAACATGGTATTCAATTACAATATGAGTAGAGTATATCCATGTCTACTTCTGAGAGGCCCTGTGGCATGGAGTCTCCCACCAACGCAGCGCTACATTACAAACACCTATATATATATATATATATAATATGCGCCAAGACAGAATCAGACTTGATCCGACCTTTATGAAATTACTGAACATAACAATTATAATGTGTAGTGATAACAATGATGGGAAGTAGACCAAACATGCAGTTCTTGTGCCCTGTCAATCCATTTGGAAAGATGCCATAGGCATGACTGCTAACTTGGTAATTTGAACCATAAACTGTCTTGACTACAATTAAAAACAGCCTTATTCCTTGCAGTGGGAGTGTCTTGCCCTTTAATGACCTCACCTCATTAATTTTACTGATTTACTCAAGTATCAGTTACCAAATATCCTGCTAGGCACATAACATGATATACCACATAGCGCCCTCTAAGGCCAATTGTGGATTGCTGTCACATTTGTTTTTTTAATTTAAAAGTATCAACATACTGTATTTTTTCTGAATAAATAATTACTCACTCATTACTGTGTGTTTAGAGAAACTCAACAACAATTAATTATTAAACTCCACCTGCCTTTGAATGATCAAGTACAATAGTCTGCAGACACTTTTAATTAAATGCACACAATGTATTTTGTACATGTCACTTTGGACCTAAGTGCACTGCATAGTCAGTGTTGCTTTAAAGAAAAACATCTCTACAGGACAAGTGATGATTACTTACCTTCTGTTGGTCCTTTATCTTCAATAACATAATTAACACTAGCTACTTGTGCAATAGGTGATTTGGCGATAACAATCTGTCAAAAAAAGCATAATGTATAATATATAATAAATAAATACAGATAAATAAATTCTTTATTTTTTTATTTCTTGAAAACAAATACTGCAGCCATGTAAATGATGCAACTAGATGGGACCTTATTACATATTTGAAAATTAATGGTTTCAGAGAAGTCAAAATATCGTTTTGCATGAAACCACATTTGAATATTTGATAAGTACTGAAGATCTCATTTCCTGTGTGTGTGTGTGTATGTGTGTCCATGGATGTGGAATATATATATCAAAAAGAAAAATATAGTGAATTGTTGGATAGTTTTCTCAGGGTGTACAAGTAGATATGCTTTGTGATTGATGGAGTAGTGTTGGATTTAGTCAAAACTATCCCATAATTATCCATAATGCCATGTGATATGGTCTTTCCCATCACAGCATGCTGTGGACATTTGCAAAGCAAGTGAGACAAGGCAAACACAAAATACAAGGTAAAAATCACGCAACATTCTGAAAGTCACAAGAATATTAGAAAAGACAATACAAGACAAACATTAAGCAAGTTCTTCAAATACCATTCAATACCTACACCTAAACTAAGCATACAATTTTTCTATTTTCAAAATTCTTAAAGAAAGTTGTTACATTGTTAATGGAATATAACATACCATAAATCAGTATATTACTGGAATTCATAAAACACAATGTATCAAAACAAATAGTTTTACATCTGCTTCATTTATTCTATAAAATTCATTCCACGAATTTTATTCGTTTTTTTTAGGGGACGGAGTTGTAATAATCCATACAATGGATGACTAACTCCTCTCAGTAATTCCTGCTGGCAGGGGAATAACACTGTTCTCAATAGAGAAATCTGTACTCTAGAGGGCGCTGTCATGTGAAAATTGAAAATAGTACATGTATGTACCAGTATACACAGTAATTATTCAGAAACTATCAGTTGAAAACATAGCTGTTAGATACAATATATTATTCAGAAACTATCAGTTGAAAACATAGCTGTTAGATACAATATATTATTCAGAAACTATCAGTTGAAAACATAGCTGTTAGATACAATATATTATTCAGAAACTATCAGTTGAAAACATAGCTGTTAGATACAATATATTACTGACTTACATATAGTATACCTCTTTACTTTGGAATACATCCAGCTATCCCATAAAAAGCCCTTAGTGCCAAGTATTAGTATAGGATCTCATGATCACTGAATTGAGACATAATATTTAATAAACATCTGCAGATGGTTTTATAGAGCACAGCTCTGACAGTGTCAGGAAGTTAATTATAATAATATACTCACTTGTCTTTGTTGTTGATCTACATATTGTAATACAAGTCTAGTATTAACACTATGAGTCCAGCTATCTCCAAGTGCAGCTGTAACATACCCATCTATGTCTAAAACATCATTAACTAGAGAGAAAATAACATCATTATATTACCATACACACATCATTGCCAAGTACTAATAACTAATATTTTCATATTTCAAAGTTTTTGTTCGTTATAGACGTGATGCACAATTAAGCATTTTTTCAGTTTCAATGTTTTGAAAACGGCAGATACCGGTAGCTATAAAAAGTGTATGTACATGTACAATGAATATCAATTTAATGATTCTAGTTAGTTTCATTGACTTACACGGATAAGGTAATTCTGACATGAAATTTTAAATAGCCATTAATCTTTCCTGAAATATTATCTTGTGTCCTTGTCTAATGATCTTCAGATTTTAACACTTGGCAAATAATGTGCGAAAGTACAAATGTAATCAAAGAAAGCTTAGAAAGAACTCCCGTGTGCTGAGAGTACTGGAGACACATTAAAAATCAATTTTAATTACTTGAACTTAAGATATTGATGGAAAAGCTTAAGCAAATAAGGTAACTAATATGAACAGATTTAAGTGTAAAACTAATAAGATCTGCGTAATGTAATATCTATGTACCAAGTTTCATTGAAATGTGATTAGAACCAAACAATTATGAATTATTATGCTAATTAGAGAATTAATATGAACAGATTTTAACCCAAAATCAGGCTGTCTATTGTCCTAGAGCATTTATGTTCCAAATTGTATTCAAATGTGATGATCAGTACTTGAGATACATGTACCAGTATTAATTAATTATGTTAATTAGGTGATTAAGAAGCATAAATATTTACCAAAACCTAATATGGTGTATAGTTTTAGGTTCATTGAAATGTGATGATGAGTACTCTTTAAAAGTGTCATTAAAATCCAATGAGTGGTTCTCTAGACATCAGTGCAACAGCCATGCAACAGCAAAAAATTAATTAATTATGCAAATTAGGTAATTAATATGCCCAATTATTCACTCAATAATTAATTGGGTCTCTGCATAGTTCTAGAAGATCTATGTCACAAGTCTCATTGAAATGTGATGATTAGTACTTGAGATATCAGGTGAAAAGCTAAAAATTAACTAATTATGCTAATAAGGTGATTAAAATGCACAAATATTTACCCAAAACTAATTAGGTTTCTGCACAGTAACTATGTACCAGGTTTCATTGAAATGTAATCATTACTACTTGAAATATCAAAAGCTGAAAATTAATTAATTATGCAAATTAGGTAATTAATATGTACTGATATTACTCTAAAAACTATCAGGTCTGTGAAGTGCCATATGACATCTATGTACCAAGTTTTATTGAAATGTTATGATTAGTACTTGAGATTATCAGTTGAAAAGCCGAAAAGTTCAGAGCATCCATGTTCCAAGTTTCATCAAAATCCAATGAGTGGTTCTTCAGATATCGGTGGAACAGCTAAAAATCAGCTAATTATTATGCAAATTAGGTAATTAATATTCATGGATTTTTACCAAAACCTTATCAACTCTGCGCATTATCCCAGAGCATCTATGTACCAAGTTTCATCAAAATTTGA